AAAACTCAATTACTTAATTCTTTATTAGATCACTTTAATTTTGGACTTAACTTTAAAATAGCATTTATACACAATTAATTACATATGTTAACTCACATGACAAATTAAATAATGCTAGTCTTTTAAAATTTTAAACTCACAAACATGTTATGAAGTGCAATATTACTACGTTACCAAGCAGATTTGACACTTTTTTTAACAGAATGTCACATGATATTTTGTTATTGTCTAATTTAAAAAAGACAATTTTTGTACCAATCATTTGTTGTCACACCTTCCTTTGTCATTCAGGATGTCAAATTCATCTAACAAAGTTTCATTTATTCTATGAAATGTTACAAAGTACTACCAATAACCATTTTCTTGCTTTTCAACCGTGGAAATTTTAATTGGTTTTAAGAAACTAAAGTCTATCCCCTAATAAAGTAGGATTTGACATCCAATCCTTAAAAACGTGCCTCGTATTTACAAGATGCAATAAAAGCTTGGACCACAATGAACAAAATATCCATTTTCAATTCAATGTATCTATGGTATAAGATGTCTCAAAAATTTAACAAAAATTTTCCTTCCTGCAAATGAATATCACTTTTAATTCAGTATATAATATCGATAGGCCAAAAAATTATTTATTTTTTGGAGCATAAACATATTAATAAATTTCCATTAGTCAAGGCTTCATCTCATTTCGATGTATTAAGGTTTCCACTTATCTGTTGGGCAACAATTTTATCCATTAATTTCACGTGTCTACAATTATATAAAGAAAATCAAATGCTACAAATATTGGGGCCACACCAATTAATTAATTAATTAATTGAAATTGACATAATTTCAAAAATCAAATGCTACAAATATGAGGGGCCCACACAAATTAATTAATTAATTAATTAATTGAAATTGACGTTATTTTTGTAAATACATGCATTATATGCACTTCGTAAAAAAACGTGCGACATTTTGAAAATGATATATAAATTCGTTGTAAGAAGCCAAGTACGTGTCCATAGTCAAACTCTGCCATCACTCAAATCTCAAGAAATATAGGAAAATAAAAAAATGTGTACACACCAAGAGGATTTAATGAAAGGATACACTTGAACACACGTTGAATGAGATAATATTGAATAAAAAATAAAATTTTTATATACTATGCTTTAAATTCTTTTTAAATATTAAATTCTAAGCATGATCGATGAGCATGAACTAATGATTCTCTATATCAACTAAAAATTAAAAGGTCAAAAGTTTTAATTGGTTTTATTTGTTTGTATTGTAAAAATAAACTATATTTAAAATCGTTGAAATTGATCATCCATTTAGTGGACGTGATAAAAAAAATTTCACTAATGATTTGACAGAATCATATGTAAGATTTTTTTACCGTATCAATAGTAAAAATTTTTTATCATGTCCACTGAAAACAGGAGATCAGTGCTGTTAAAATCATTGACAAATACATTGTATAGAATATAATCAGAAATTTAATCGTGTCTAATTTCAAAATTTTGCGTGAAGGATTGAAACTTATGGAAATTCATGGACGAATCAATGCATACATGATTGGATGGGATTCGTACATAAAAAAATGTCAAAACTCACTTTCACTTCACGTGGGCTACTGTCTTCTCCAATAAGAACATGGGACCCATACAACTTTATTCTTAAACAAATATGTTTTGATGGTACCACCCAGCTCCCTCTTTTTTCTTTTTAACCTTACTGCAAACATTTGGAACTTCTGTTTTTGGATATTTCTAGTAGTACATAAATTAGGTTACATACCCATGTGAATAAAAATTATTTTGTTTAAATGGGTCCCACTCCTATGTAAGTGGGTGAATACCCTCGTGTAACCAAACCTATGTACCACTAGCAATGGCCTCTGTTTTTTATCGAATCCTATTTTTGTTGGATGAAACTAGTTGTACAATCATTTTGTACAACAAGTTTGACACTCCATTATGCGTAAAAACTGAAACTATAGATTTTAATATGTGTTAATCAAATCAATTGTCAAAATGGTTGGCACATCATGAGATGTCGATAAAAATGTCAATCGAGCTATATATGTATCAGGGTAGTTGTTTACTATTATAGAAATGAATAACAATAAATCTATTTGTACAAAACCGAGTTACAAAAGTTGGATTACAAAGTTTGTTGGCAAAATCCAGGCCGTTGACTTCAAATGATTTAAAAATATATTTTTAAGATAATTGGTGTAGATGTTATTTTGTCAACCAACTTTGTAACCCAACTTTTTACATGTAGTATAATTCAATGAATAATGCTAGAGGTACGTTCTCCTTGACACCCCCTAGGTGAAAGAATTTTGGACGGTAATGTAATGATTGTCGTCAAAATCAATAATTTATAAATAAACCACATGGAAGGACATAAACCTTGATGTTAACCACAATATATACGTAGAATGGTTGTTACAGAAATATGAGGCACAAAAATTAGGCCTAACGTGGCAACCACATACAAATACATATAACGAAATTCCATCTCAAAAGGAATATTAAGCCATGTTTGATAGGGATTAAAATCAAAATTAAAATTAAAATCAACAATTAATTTTTAATCACTTATTTCGTAGTGTCCATAGCTTTCTAATTACACATTTGATCAACTTTTATTAAAATCTAGTAAAATTCTAATTTTAACTATCAAAAGAGGGCTAACATGTAAAGTTTTAGATATACATCAAGTTTTATCACTTATTTCGTAGTGTCCATAGCTTTCTAATTACACATTTGATCAACTTTTATTAAAATCTAGTAAAATTCTAATTTTAACTATCAAAAGAGGGCTAACATGTAAAGTTTTAGATATACATCAAGTTCATCTTTCACGATTTAGCCCATGTTTCAATCTCATTCTTTAACAATGAATTTTTTTTCTAACTCATTTTCAATTACACATTCTCTCAACAAAACAATTTTACGCGAAACTCAAAAAATTTTTCCTTACTTTTTAATCAAATATTTTTCAAAAATTACTATTACAAAATCTATCATTCCAAAAAATGGGGCTCAAACTATTTTTGGGCAAAATGAGCTTTGTAATAGTAATTTTTTGGATAATTTGCAGTTAAAATAAAAAAAAAGATTTGAACTTACGGTGTTAATTGTTTTATTGAGAAAATGCGTAGTTAAAAATGAGATTGAAAAAAAAAAATAAAAAATTAGAGAATGGGCTTCTAACAGGGACAATAATGTAATTTTCACGACTCGTATTGTTTGATATAAGTAATTTGGGAATTTATTGTTTACACGTCTTTGCATGATGACAGATCATTTGAGGATAAGCCTTAGACAAAATTGAAATTAATCATTTGAGATTTGTTGAGTTCTAATACTGTAAATTGTTTTCGCGATCTATTTTAAAGGTTAAATTGTTGAGATGGGTATTTTAAACCTTGTATCTTTACCTTTATTTACATTATTGTTATCTTATTGGCAAGCAGCGCAGTATGCGCTTTTCATCGTGAAATCAAAAATTAAGATGTAATTTTTTTTTTAATAGAATATAATATTAATGAAAATAAGTCGATACAATACTACAATTTTAATTTAGTTGTCAAATATATTGTTCGCCCACTAAACTATCACTCGATCATTGATCTACCATCCAGTTATGCAATTGATTCTAGGCGATGTTCATTGCAAATAATACTCTCTATCATAGCAATAGCAACTCAAAGAATTACTGTTACAAGCCTATAAACTAATGAGTACACTTGTTTTTCATAACCACCAACTTTTCTACAATATCACTATAACCTAGTAACTCTTCGAAATTGTCATAAGTGCACGTATAAATTGTTTGTGTGTGTGAATTTACTTATCAATCGTCAAGATCTCTACTGACTTAAAATTTTTGGTTCGAACACTTGAATTAACTTGTCAAACTCATAAAATGTTGTTTACTCACTTCTCTCCATCTCTCGTTAAACCCGATTTAGTCCATGTTTGATTGTCATCAATGTTTTTAATAGTGATTTTTAAGAGAATGTGTTATTGGAAATGCGTATGTAAAAAAAAAAAAAAAGTTTGAAAATAATAGTTGTCAAGAAAGAAATTAATGTCTTAGAAATTTTTCAATTAAGATCACATCATGAATCAAGAAGCAGAATCAAGAAAATAATCGAACTCCTAATCGAGAAAATAATCGAACTCCTACATCAAGAAAATGCTTAATTCGAACAAAATTCTTTCACTTTCTATCAATCTAATTTTACAAAAACTAAAACCGAAATTGTTTATCAGAATTCGAGAAAAGAAAAAAAAAACTCAAGAAACATAATTTAAAAAAACTAAAAATTCTCATTTGTATATTTGCAAAATATATCGTTAAAGTATTTCTGTAATATAAAAACACTTTTAAGTAGAATTTACAAAAATTAAATAAGTCTCGCCAATTTGAAGAATCAACCTCAACCGAAGCATCACCGGCCATAACTGGCGAATCACCGTGTAAACGGGCATGAAGAAAGCTGATTTCGAATTGAATTGTACGCTTATTTTTACATTGCTAGTCAAGTTGTACGAGCCTTAAAGAAAATTAAATTATGATAGTGTTCACATTATTTATTGTTAGAAAATAAAATTTAAATCGATTAGTTATTTGGCACAAGGAGTCTAAGATAATTGCGGATTTCGAATACACCACCAAATATTAAAGGGAATTATTAACAGAAATCATATAGGTGTTGCGTTGGCATTATCTATATGGTGCATTTTTTATCATTGTTGTTTCAAAAACAAATGAAAAATTGTTATATGTTATTTGTACAAATTATGTCAAACATTTTCTATACCTACAGCATGACTGAATATTAAATACCATTTTAACAGAAAATTAACCTTAATTTTGTTTTTCTATGTTAACTCAAATCGCACTACGAGGTTATATATACAAAGCATTTTATCCTTAAACAGCTCACACACTCTGTCTTTCCCTCTTTTGGCCAAGCACTGCACATTCCATCAATGGACGACCTAATTGTATCATCTCCTTCGCCTACCTCTCAAGAAAACCCTGCAACAACCCTGCAACAAAAACTCCAATACATACTCCAAACCCAGCCACAAAAATGGTCTTATGCTATTTTCTGGCGAACATCCAAGGACGACAATGGACGTATCTTCTTGGTCTGGGGTGATGGCTATTTTCAAGGGAATACTAAACCGAAAGTGCCCAAATCGGGTTCTCACTCTCAGAGGAAGAAGGTCATGCGAGGAATCCAGGCTTTGATCGGTGAATATCCTGATAGTTATAACCCTGTAGATGGCGATGTGACTGATATGGAATGGTTCTATTTTACGTCACTTGCACAGTCTTTCTCTCTCGGAGATGGAGTTCCAGGCAAGTCCTTTAGCTCGGGATCTTTGGTGTGGCTGACTGGTGAGAATCAACTGAGGTTTTATAACTGTGAAAGAGCTAAAGAATCCCAGATCCATGGAATGCAAACTATGGTTTGTATACCTACTTCAAATGGGGTTCTTGAACTGGGATCTGATGATATCATCGCTGAAAACTGGAACCTGGTTCAACAGGTTAAGTTACTGTTTGATTCATGTGGGATTAATGGATCCTCCGGGCAGTTAATTTCTTTTGCTGATATTGGTGTTGTTACTGGTTATCACCAAGACGAAGCAAAGGCTAAAAGAGATGAAGGTTTTGCTGTACTTTCTTCGTATCTCGATTCGGATCATTCAGATTCCGATTGTCAGTTTTTTCTTGAGACTCCTGTGGAGAAGAAGGCACCAAAGAAGAGAGGAAGAAAGCCCAGTCTCAGCCGTGACACCCCTTTGAACCACGTCGAGGCGGAGAGGCAGCGGCGAGAGAAGCTCAACCACCGGTTTTACGCGCTCCGGTCGGTGGTTCCGAACGTATCGAGAATGGACAAGGCATCCTTGTTATCAGATGCTGTATCATACATTAATGAACTGAAGACCAAAGTGGAAGAACTTGAAGCAAAACTCCATAAAAATCCCAAGAAAATAAAGATTGAATCAGCTGACACTTTGCAGGATAATCAAAGTGCAACAACATCTGTTGATCAAACAAGGCCTAATTCATCATCATTATCTTCATTTGGAGGTGTACCATCAGAAATTGAAGTGAAGATTGTAGGGCTTGATGGGATGATCAGGTTCCAATCAGATAATGCTAATTATCCAGGAGCTAGGCTAATGAATGCGATTCGAGACCTCGAATTACATGTCCACCATGCTAGCATGTCAACTGTGAATGATCTGATGCTTCAAGATATTGTTGTTAAGGTTCCTAATGGATTGAGAAGTGAGGATGCATTGAAATCTGCTCTTCTTACAAGATTAGAGCAGTGAATCCTTGTAGTTTATTAGTACTTGTTCCTTTTATCCTATGTTTGTCGAAACTAGTTAATTTTTCAATTTCTTGAACTTTGTTAGTAAAAAGCTGCTGCGAAAATATTATCAATAAATTTTGCTCCATGTTTCCTAAATTCACAGCACTTTGTTCGGTCGGAAAACTAAATTTTAATGCTGAATCTTAATCGGTTAACAATGGAAAGAAACCAACGAGCTTCCAGATTCAATCGATAGTGTTCTTCAAGAATGGCTAGAACCTTAGCGTATATTCGTATACGATGATAAAATATAGTTGTTTGCATGCTTAGAAATGGACCTGCTAGTTATGGGTGACAAAATTGTGACCATGAAATGTCATGTGGATCAAACAAGTTTTCAAAATATGTTTTTCTTTCTCTTCTTTTTAACCACACATTCTTCAATAAAATAATATTACACGTAAATTTAAAATTTTTTTTTTATTTTTTAACCACATAAACTATTATTCCAAAATGCATTTTATACCAAAAAAAAAAAAGGCTCAAACAGACCCTACATAGTACAATAATTGAAAGTGCTACCTTGCAACAATTAAAAGTTGGGCCATCAGTTTCTGCAACATTTACCCCCACGTCTTTTTGTTGTACCTTCTATGAACTCAAGATAACGCACATGTAAGAGTACAAAAATCTTTTTTGTCATTGTTTGATAATTTTCATCTACCTTCGTTGAATTTTCAGCAATGTTTTAATTGAGATCACTATTTTAATTTATTTAAATTGATGACTAAAATTTAATTAATTTTAAATTTCGTCACTCTGTCACGCGTCACGTTCCAAATAGATAGACATCGATTAACTAACAATCATACTGTAACGGATCTTCCACAATATAGTTGTGCATTAGTACATCGATCTTACTACATGTACATCAAAATTTACATAATGAATTATATAATGTAACATAACACTCTATTATTTGTCAGTTTAAAACACAATCAACTTTTTCATCTAATTTTTTCCCTTCACATCATATTATATAATTCATTATGTATATTTTTTATGTACAAGTAGCAAAATTCAAAGTACAAAAGGAATTTTTGTTTTTGTTTTAATCTAAGTATATCGTCCAATTGTCCATTACTCGATAATTCATCCACTCAAGTTCTTAAAGTTGAAATCTACCAAGTTCAAAATACATCACAATGAAAGAAAGTTTTCAATCATTTCCACAACTAAAATTACTTATCCTCACATGCTAACATCAATATTCTTAGTTGACATTTTATTTCTATATATCTTTTAAAAATAAATGAGTGCATTTTTTTTCTTCACGTAATTAAGGGTCTGTTTGGGTCGAATTAAAATCTAATTTTAATCCAAATCAAAGTCAAACAATTTATATTAAACACAATTTTCATGGGTCTCACATCCTTTCAACCACACATTTCAAAAACTTCTATCACAATTCACAAAAAATTTAATTTTAATCACCACCAAACACCCAAAATTGTAAAATGCATGTATCATAAACTTCGTGGGTTAATTTCACAAATGGTCACTGAAATTACCTGAAAATTTCAAAAC